CCAGCTACCTTTCAATGGAAAGATCAAATTCCAAAAATCAATGAAGTTAATACTGCTTTTGGATTGAGGGAGGTCTCTTCTTCAAACTTGAGCAAGATCAGAGCATCTAGGTTTCCAGAATTCGATGTCAAAAGACCCGGAGATAATTTTGCACAATGTGGTACCTGCGACAAGTACAAAGAGCTAACGAAGGGTGCCATTGGAGGATCTGAACAGGCTATGAAGTGGACGAGGAAGTTGGAGAAACATCTTGGTATTGCTCGTGCTCATAGGGAGTACTATTATGCTAAGCGATACTACTCGCAAACTTATCCCGATGAGTGCGTGACAATCATGCATGACAAGATGGATCATGCCAAAACTGCATCTCCGGTATTTTCACATAAGAACAAAGAATTGGATGCTTTGGTGAAGCTACATGTATCTGTGACAGGTATGATTGCTCATGGACACGGTGACGTGCATTATGCTCATTATGGATTGGATATCTTTTCCCATGATTCAAATTATACTATTGGATCGATGACAAAGTTGTTGCGTGATTTGGAGGAACCTCCAAAATCATCTTCCTGAGAATTATTTTTGGGCTCTGGATCCACAGCTCTATTTCGTAGCATTCTCAAGGGTGCGGAGATGTGCAAAACATCACTAGATCCACAACCTGAGAGATTAGTAGGAGCAACACCGTTGCCACCCATTTCGAATGTGCAAATGGATAATGCCACAGGGGAGAACAAAAATAGATATGTTTTTGCTTTTTGGTCCCTACTTGTGGCAAAGCGGATCTTTCGTGAAGTGTATGTAAATTTCATGATAGTAGGACATACACATGACGAAATCGACGCCTTATTTGGAAGATGGAGCATGCTTCTGAAGAAAGAGAACTTCCCTACTATCCCTGCACTTATGAAGTCGTTCATGGACGTGGAATCTATTCCCACTATCCCTCATCTTATCGAGGAGGTGCCGGATTTTAAAAATTTTATACTTGGATCTATTTTAGACAAAAGTGAAGTTCTTGTAGGTCACACAAAACCACAATAAGTCAAATTTTACTTGGATGCAACAAGGTGTCCAAAAATGAAATACAAATTGTTTTGTACCGATGTAGAGTGGCTAGGAGAGGAAGGAGCAGGCATTAAAATTTGGAAAGAGGATGCACAGGGATGTAGTTTGTGGCCTCGTGGTGAGCCATCGCCTGTTCCACAACGTACAATGAGAGGTGTGGAGGATATTGAGAAAGGAATATCAGGGTTCGTGAAATATTGGGAGGATTTGTGCAATGTTGATGTCACTAGAGAGTATCGAAGACGGTATGAGCATTTGGTGGTGTATTGGCGTAACGTGAAGGATGCATTGCATGAACCAATCATTCCTTGTAATATCATGAGAGAAGGTTTTTGGCCAATTACCCGTATGAGAGACAATCTTGCAGATCAATTATCAGATGATGGCGAGGATCATGAGGAATTTGGAGAAGATGATCCATATGTTGGTCCTCTGAGAGGTCGCACACAACCATCTTTTCGGGTAGGTCGAGATGTTCGAGAAGGATATTTTGTTGCAATTCGACCTGCAGAAGGTGAAATACAACCAGTGTGGATAGCTAGGGCTTTGTCGAACCCAGATTGTAATCCTGAGAAGCCAAATTGCATTCTCATTCAGTATTTTCATCCGACCTTAAGAAGTGTGGATGTACAACAGTTCTATACATGTTGGGATAGCGAGAGAGGTTTGCATTGGAAGATCGAAGAGAATGAACCTCCTATTTGGGAAGAAACGAATGCTCTTATGACAGCGTGGTCACCACGAATCAGAAAGGATACAAGTGAATGCGTGATCAAAATTCCGGCTCCACAAATTGAAATAATCAAGCAGAGTCTTGCATCGTATATTAAAAATGTATGAATGAAATATACAAATTTGTCATTGTGATTTGAATATTCATATTTTGGTAACATAGTTTTTAAAATTTTATAGTATTGTAACAAAGGTAGTAGAACTCGTAGTGTATAATAAGTGGTTTTAGTTTGATTTAGTTTTATAGATAACTATTGTAGATATTCCTTAACTATAGTTTTATATGTACACAAAAATTACTTGTATAAAGTTATATCAAAATATTTGATTAAGTTAGAGCATTGTTATTTTCAATCACATCTGTATTTGACACCTTGCAAAACAATAAATACTCTCATTTTAAAGGAAATTACTTATCACAAGTACTGAATTGCTACCTCATTGACCTTATTTGACTATACATATAATCCAATTTTTGTTACTTCTATTTGATTGTTTTATTTTGAGAGACACCAAACCTCTCAAAATAATGAATATTGTGTTCTTTCTAGTCTTAGTCTTGTTTCAAGACTTTCTAATCTTCTTGTTTTTGGCAATAGTCATTCTAGTTAATATTACATCACTTTTTTGAGTGACTTTTTAGTTCTCTTCAGTGATAGAAGAATGTATTGAGGATTCTCTTTCTTTGAGATTCATGTCCTTGATAGAATCTTTCTACATAAGCATATATTGATTTATTTTCAGATGTTTTATTTCTTTATGTTAATTGTTACAAATGCCACATAAAAATTATGTAAAAAAAACCAATTTTTAATATTAATTCAAATTTTTTTACATTCTTATAATTGAAATCTTTTTATGACAAAACAATTAATATAAACTTATGTGTATATCTATCATAACAACTATACTTATATTTTGTTTATTTTTAAAATAAATTATTGCTAAAATTCTTTGACACTTACATATAGAGAACTACTACAAAGTATTTTTGAATGATATAAAATATAAATAATTAAATATTTCTATTTGACCTACAATTTTTAGAATCTTCAAATAAATTAGAAAATTTCTAAAGTAATACCACCATTAAAGTCTTCAAAATTCATCTTTTTATTTTTTGTAAATTCTATATATAAGTGATCTTAACATATTAAATAATTTTACACTTACATTAAAAAACAAAGATTATTCTAAAAGTGCAAAGATATTATAGAATAAATAGATTAATTTTAGATTTTTTATTAATCATATATATAAGAGGTTAAATTTAATTAAATTAAATTAAAATATGAATTTATGTCCAAATATATGTATATATTACAAATAAATTATATTGATTCTACAAAAAATAATAAATAAATAAATAAAATGCATGTAATTAATTTATGTAGATAAATAAAACATAAAATTACAATTAAACACGAGCAATCAAAATAAAACAGATTGTCTTCAAATCAAATAATAATTAAAACTTAAAAATAGTCCTTCCATATTTTAATTTTTAATATTATTTTAGAATCTTTACATAAAATTAAAAATCTTCACTCTATTTTTTTTTTGAAGTATTTGTATAAAATATATATATATATATATATATATATATATATATAAGTTTATATTTAAAATTATCTAATCATTTAATTTACATCTTCTTCAACAAAAACACACAAGTCCAATGACACATCAAAAACACCTGTTGAAAATATAATGTTTAATGTTGACTATATATATATATATATATATATATTCTCTGCAATTTGTAATTTGTACTTGTACATAAGGTCTAACTAGATTCAAACGCAGTAAAAATTTAATAAAATTCATATAAAACTCTCAATTTTATGTAGTACCTTTTTATTTTTGGAATGGCTTGCCAAAAACATTTGTGTGTAGTATTTTAATAATAAACGATTTAAAACAAATCTAAATGTATTTATATTTCTGAATAAGAACATGAATATATTATTAAAAATATTCATGTTCTTATTCAGAAATATAAATATATTTAGATTTGCCAAGAAGTAAATTATGATAATCTATTGATCAATAACAAGTCACTTGGAAGCAAAACAAAACTTTGAAGATGAGCTGAAGCCAATTAAATGTGGCTTATTTCCTCCAATGTTTTTACATGTCAAATTCAATAACAGTTAAATAATTTTTAGGCACACAATAATCATATATGCATGTCATAATTTTACAGATACATGATATATTGTACCTATATAAAAAAAACTACATCCTTGTGAGAACATGTTATTTTGAACTGCCAATTTCCAGTTATGGCTTTGGAATTAGCTGCCAATTCAGTTGTGTGCCAAGGCCCCTCATTAATGTATTAAGACAAATATGTTTGGATTGTTGGCTCCTTGTCACAATAAATGTCATTTTTATGGTAGGATGCAGAAGGAAAGATTGGAAATAAAAGGGTGGTCACAAAAATGGATTTGAACAATTTTTGCCTTTAGGGATTTTAATTAAAAAAATATGCACATGACTAATCAAATTTATGATGTGTTTATAAAAAAGCATCAAAATAATGTTGCTAAAAGCCTCTTTTTATAATAATAATTATCCAAATATATACATGTACATGTGTTTGTATTGATAAAACATAAACAGAGAATTGTAATGTTAAAATATTTCATGATATTGTAATATATTGTAATAGTGAAACCCAAATAATCAATGAACATGATTACTTTTTAAATATTTTTGTTAAAATATTATTTTATTTAGTTTTTTATATTTACAAAACGAAATAGTGTGTTTAAAATACAAGCTGCTAGATTTATTTATTTATTTATTTATTTATTTTTATCTGTAATAAATAAATAAATCATGCATGTAACTTGTGTTTGTATGTGTATGTATATGTATATATATATATATATATATATATAATTATGAATTTTGGTTGAGGATTTTTTAAATTTATTTTTAAAATTAATTAAATAAAATTTCAGTTTTGAAATTTCAATGGAAAATTTTTGTGAAAACTTTCCTGACGTCTGCTCTTGGTACAATAGTACGCTCTTGTGATTTGAAGATTACTGTTTCAGCAATATTTCCTAATGAAGATCTAAGCCTAAAGAGGTTCGAATCCCGAATTCCAAGTCAGGACTTGGGAAACAGCCCGGGGAAGATCCCCCCCGCCTCTACACAGCCGAAGGGGACAGAGGTCTTCATGGGGTCTTGGTTAAGTCTTCATCCTCGGTGTGCTTGAACGGAGCTCTTGTGCACAGTGCTGTTTTAGAGTGTGATTTTGTGTGTGCGCGTGTGTGAGAGAGAGGAAGCGATTAGGGTTTTGAGGGCGGGGTTCTGTTTTTCGGAGGCGCTTCCTCATCTCCGACGACCTCGAGGTAACGCACAAGCACGAGACAACAGTTTTGAACTTAGGGGAACGAGGGAGATGGCGCGTTACGACAGAGCGATCACTGTCTTCTCACCTGATGGACATCTATTCCAAGTTGAATATGCACTAGAGGCTGTCAGAAAGGGGAACGCAGCAGTCGGAGTGCGTGGTACCGACACGATTGTCTTGGGCGTGGAGAAGAAGTCCACAGCCAAGTTACAAGATGCTCGGTAATACTATTTGCTTTGCTATGCTTTCTTCCTGGAGTCGGATCGTTTTGGGTGTATTGATATGTCTCAGACAATCGAAGTATTGATTTAGGGTTTGGAGCTACATCTCGGTCGTAATTCGTCGGATTTGCTCAAATTGGTTCGGCATGGTGTAGGGTGATTTGATTTCGGATGGACTATCTATTGGTTCAAGAGGATCTTCTGTTCAGTTGGTGGGGTTGTGACGTTTTCTGGCTGGATTAAAGAGTTAGTTTTGTTTTTCCATTGATGTCAGTGAGCATATACGGTGTAGGGTTTGAAAAGGTTATGCGATAGCGGTGGAGTGATGGGTTCGGGACTTTGCAAGGATGATTTTTCAGCGTTTGGCTTTAGATGTCGTTAGCAGTATCCTTCAACGCTGAGGAATGGATGCATGTTTTAATTTGAGGAACTGATTTATATGAATTTTGATCTGTTTGCAGTACCGTCCGGAAGATTCTGAAGCTAGACGAGCATGTATCCCTTGCCTTCGCTGGCTTGACTGCTGACGCACGCGTGCTCGTCAATCGTGCTCGAATTGAATGCCAAAGTCATCGTCTTACAGTAGAAGATCCTGTGACGGTGGAATACATCACTCGCTTTATTGCTGGCTTGCAGCAGAAGTACACTCAGAGTGGTGGAGTGCGTCCTTTCGGTATCTCTACATTGATTGTAGGATTCGACCCTTACACAGGGGTACCTTCCCTTTACCAGACCGATCCCTCTGGAACCTTCTCAGCTTGGAAAGCCAATGCTACAGGTCGTAACTCAAATTCAGTGCGTGAGTTTCTGGAGAAGAATTATACTGAGACCTCAGGTGCCGAGACAGTCAAGCTGGCTGTGCGAGCGCTTCTAGAGGTAAGTGCCAATCTTTATGTTCGTTGTTGGTCATGTTTTCTACTTTTTTAAAGTCTCATCCCTACACGGAAAACTGAAGGTTGCAATAGGTACTGATGGTCATAATAGTTTTTTTCGTTCATTACAAAACTTAAGAAACTCACTTCGTGGCTGCATTGCGACAGGTGGTAGAGAGCGGTGGGAAAAACATTGAAATTGCAGTAATGACCAAGAATGAAGGTTTAAGGTTGCTAGATGAGGCAGAAGTTGAGGGGATTGTTGCTGCGATTGAAGCTGAGAAGGCTGCTGCCGAAGCAGCGAAAAAGGGTCCTCCTCGTGATCAGTAGGCATTGATATTAGTTCATTGGCCATGGCGACAGGGTTATACCTCAAGGTGACAACAGGTGACAGTGGTCAGTTTTCAAGCACCATTGTCGCTTTATGTAAACTTGTAAAGCATGCTACCATTACCAATTCAGCGTTATCTTTAGATTGGTTTTTGAATTTTGCAAAATTCTACTTGTTGTTTAATGGGTGTGATGTGCTCTGTACATCATAGGACGGTCAGATTATGAAGATCTCATTTATGATGAATTGAATTTGCTAAAATCCATATAACTAGCTATATAAAAATAGGATCCGCTTGACTTGAATCCAGTGGGTGAAAAATAGTCTTGAACTGGCTGGATATTCACGGGCCCTTAGCCTTGAATGTACTCGCTCCTAGAGTGATTGGAGTGAGACGCACATGTTAGTTCTTTTCCTGAGTCAAATTGAACTATCACTTTGGTATTTATTAAGTATAGACCGAATTTCCTGGTCTTCTGTGGATAATGAAATTTGAAACTTAAGGTTCCCACTCATTTAATGTGGGATATGGTGGTTTTCAAAACATCCTCGTTTTTTCTTCCGAATAGGTTATCCTTATTCAATAATTTGTTGATTTCTGATGTCTTCAAATTGATGAGTTTTGTGACAGTATACACCGTCGAATACACTGGAACGTAAATTGTATTTGCAACAAACAAAGATCTTAACAATTCTAATAAAATTCTAAACAAATCTTAACAATTATAACAAAACCTTAATAAAATTTTAAAGGATCTTTAAAAATTCCTAAAATGAATCATTAGATAATTTTAAAAAAAATTAAAGAAATTATAAAGGATATTAAAAAAAATCCGAAAGAAATCCTAAATAATTCATAAAGCAATCATAGAGATTTCTTTATAAAACAAATCTTAAAAAAATTGTAAAGAATCCTTAAAGAAATCCTAAAAGAAATTCTAAAGATGTTACAAAAAAATCTTAAAGAATTCCTAAGCAAACCTTAAAAATGTCTTAATCCAACCCTAAATAAATCCTAATAATCCTAATACAATTCTAAAAAAATTCTAGTCAAACTCTAATTGAAACCTAAACAATCCTAACAAATTCTAGGGCAATCTTAAAACCTTAATAATTCTTGATTAAAATGTTGATCATTCTTAAATTTTTATGCACATTACAATCTAATGGTTAAAAATAAGCACAACAAATTAAAAAAGAATCCAAATTACCAACAGAAAGTAAAAAAATCCTTAATTGCTTGTATATTAGCCATCTCCCTTTTCCAACCTTGATGTTGATCTTCTAGCAGCAATAACTGCTTGTTGAACAATTCACTTGCACTCAAAATAAGATTTTTTTAAAAAAAACTAAGATTATATCACTTCTTCAGAAAAATTTGCTTCAACCCAATTGGTAGATTGCTTAAGATTAAAGAAACCCTTATTTATCCTTGAAATCCAAATTTCAAAACCTAACCCAGTTGGATTTAATAGTCTTTTATCTAACCATTAGAACAAATTCACAGAAAAGAAAAATTCAAAACAAGTAGATGCACAAGCCCGGAACAGCCGTAAGTGCACAGTTTGTAGCCTATGCGAAGTCTGGATTTGACCATGGTTAACATCGAAGAAGTAGTAGGGCTTGCAGCATAATTTTCTTGACGTCCAAACCAAGAGCACACAATTGGGGAAGTGTTACAGTCGCCGCCGACCCATTCATGCATAGCCTGTGATAGAATTATAGTCATGTTACTGACACTCGGAAACAACTGCTGTTCATGCACAATTTATAGCCTACACTAGCCTGCTCCTTACATTGGATCTTTTCGTTGGTTGTCGGAGAGCCAGTTCTTCACGCTCCTCAACAACTACTACACCATTAGAAGTCTTGCAGCTGAGGCCTGCAGTTGAATGTGAGTAATGGACATAGCACGCTACTTCGAAGGTTTTCGAATAAAGGACAATACATTCACAAAGAAGATCTGCACGAGACAATATGCATCTAAGAAATGATCTATGATTCGAATCTACTCTTACTTTACATGGCAATACTGTCCTCAAGCTACAGTAATTGTGCAAATTGAAGTCGTGAAGTAACCTTACAAATTCTGAAGCAACTGGAGACATTGAAAACTTTTGAGAAAGGTATGGTTGGGATGGGTACGTCCATCGCCCTTCGCATGAAGCCTTAAACTAATGCTCAGATGATGAAGACCTCAAACTTGCTCGTTTTCTTCCTGAACTTCCCAAATCCATATGCATATCCTCGGTGAATGCTTGGACCCTTCCAATCTCCAAATATCTAGGTTCATATGAACTCATTCTAACCAATCTTTCTACACAGCTCCGACTCTCTATATCTGACATATCAGGTTCATAACCTCCCACTCCCTGCCAAAAACTTGCATCGTGACACAACGGAATCTGCGTTGAAAACGAATTATTGTACTTTGGGTAGTTTCTTATTGACGTTTTTCTCATTGAGAAGGGGTGCTGATTAAACACAACATTTCACCACTGTCTTCCTGTGGTGGTTCTATTGCTTCTACTTCCCGTTAGTAGTCCGTCGTTCGCATTCGTTCTACCCTAATAAACATTCCCAAAATCGATCCGTTCGAGAGATTCTCTATCACCATTGCTTGATTGCTTCGAAGAAACTATGAAGTTCTCAGAATCTAGGTGTTCACTTTTGCTCAACCACCGCGCATCACTATGCACAGTTGTTACTTCTTTAATTACTGGAAGTTTAGTGGAATTGGCCCTAGAAGTTCCAGGGACTGATATGTCACAAATCATCGATTCATGGCACAAAACTGTGGATTGTAGAGATGTCAACTCCGTAGTCTGCCATCCATATTGTTTTCCTGAATGAAGCTGAGAAAATTTAGTTAAATCTAGGTTAGTGCTCAAGAGTCATTTTACGATAGTACATTTCGATAAGTGAATTTCAACTGAAGTCTACAATATCACAAAAGTTTTTTAATAAAAAAAGATTGCTTCCCTTATCTGTCAACGTATGAACTCCAGGTATTAAGTATGTTAGAAACATAGGCGCATTCATCCATGCTGTAATCCTAGACTGTAGCATCATTATAGTCTAATTTGAGAGCCATGATGGTAAATCGAGTTGATGCTGACGCTCTTGGTCAAGGAGATTCACGCCAGGAAAACCTCTGCAAATCCCGAAGTTTCGTTTACTACTTTTGATGCTTGTTTCCTGATTTGCAACAAATAATTGTGGTGAAATGAGTGATGGCAGCAATCTGCGATAACGTTGACCGTTTCTGAGGCCTTCGAATTGCAAAATATATCTGCAGGGTTAGTACACTGCTCAGACCTGGACTTTATGTCAGAGTTAAAATTTATTAGACTCGTCAACAGCAACGGATGCTACAAGTGTAGCTCTACTATCATTGGTTGAAGGGTGACCAACTCCGCTAAATTTGCAATTCTGAAGGCTCTGCGTGTGCAGACACGGGACCCCTACCTTCACTTTTTAAGGCAATGACAGACCCTGACCATGACTCTGCTTCGGATTGTTTCATTTTTTGTTCAACACGGTTAATGTGGTACTAAATTTCAACCAAAAACTAAAGGAACCTGCAACCCAGTAGCAACTTCTCGAGATTACTACTAGACCCAGTCGCTATGTTTTCACCAGCGTTGTAATCGATCTAGATATCACTGGTAGTTTTGTCATAAGTGAAATGAGTGCTGTCTAGTATTTCATCGATGAGCCTCTTTTACTGTCACTCCCACAACCCTCAACGACAACTACTTGCATGAGCTCACTTCCAGGAATCACTAGGCATGTCTCGATAGACGTGATTGCGGAGCTGGACAAGTGCATTCATCGCTTCCGTTCTCATCTTGAGTGATTCAGTAACCAGTGAAAGATTTTGGCACAAGACCATAAGTCAAGAAGGTAGACAGGCGCAATCACGACAGCAGCCAAAAACCTAGAAACACGGGAAGTACTGTTGTGCCATTAATGAATAGTGCATTATTTCATTGGCAGGTGGAAACACCTAAATATCAGTGAAACTGCTATTGCAGCATTATTGTCTATGTTCTGTCGACCAACAATTTCTAAAAAGTTCTCTTCAGACATGGTGGTGTGCAATGAAATCGGATACGCCTCTGCTGTATATGGAGTTCAAATGGACCTTCGATACTGAAAACTTGAATTGTAGAGTAAATTCGAGTCGGCTATTGCGATGGATTGTCAAACATGTCGAGGGCGGTTTCAGTACTATCTTCTCCTTTTCTCTATTGCATCATTTTTATCTTTGTAATTTCTCTTCTTGACACACGAGACCTTCGGTCTGCCTGGTAGCGCATCTTAGTGAAACTGGAACTGACTTTGATGTGTGCTAAGAGCTGACATTCGAATTGCTCCTCATGTGAAATCATCGACGCTTGTTCTTCTCTTGCGGTGATCAAGCAAGATACCGGTCCCCTAGAATAAACGCTCCCTCGCTGTCTAGAATGAGTCGCATTCTGAAGTATTCAGAATCTACATCACCTTGTTTCCTCACTTAAATCTCAGCTGCTGACGGCCTTATATCTCGTTATTTAAATATGTAGTTCTGTGTCTAGATCCTCTCGAGCCTTCGAATAGTTTCATAGAGCGCAGATCTTCGCAAGTTCTTATTGTTACCCAATGGCAGCTGCGTCACTATCACTGTGCTGGCCACGATTACTGAAATCTGAGCTGCTTGGTTTTTTCTGCTTTCATCCAGCTTGAGTGCAGTCGACTACCCAACTCAACCTCTACCGACATTGAGATAAACGACCGACAAACAAATCTGTTACCGACACTGCGATCTATCCGTTGCTACCCAAACACCCGCAATCTTCTTGATGTGGTTTGCAGGCTCAAGCAAAAGCAAACCTATTGCAAAATTATGAAACCTCCTGTTTATGAAGTATGTGAGGACAAGTGTGAGTCCTTCGGTCTATTCATATAAATGTCATACTATCATACATGATGCTAATTGTGAATATTGATCGATAAGTCAATGGAAAATGTCAGGATGGTATTTTTATTTTATTTTTTAACATAGTATCATGTTCATTGAAGCATTATTGCAAATATAAATACACTGAAGTCTTTAATCAGTTTAAATTTACACGAAATTATTTATTTATTTATTCATGTAGTTGTAAATGATGGGTTTGCTTTGCGTGCAAATGAGAATCCAGAAATCCTATATATATATATATATATATATATCATCTTACGATTTCTATTTTGGTAAGAAACAGTTATTGTACCAAAAGAAGATATTGCAATTTTTATTAAAATTCTCGTCTGTATCTATTTTTTTTTGTATACATAAGTTGAAATATGTCCAAAAAAATTGTTGCAATTTATTAGTTACATCCACAGGTTTGTTTTTTAAGTTTACAATTTTTTAGTTCTTTTTTTGAAGTGTCTGTGTTATATATAAAATTGCAAAAGCCGAGGAAAGCATTTTGCACATCCATACATACATACAGATTATTTTGGATAGTCGACATATTGTCCTATATTTTTACACACATACACACATGCATGTGTGAGGATATATAGAGAATACTCAAAGTTTTATTAATAGGGTATTCACACGATCTAATTAAACAAATGATACCACTTACCACGATCTTCAATCATGAAGAGATGGAATCATATGGAATCTAACGTGCAGAATATGCTATCACTTTTACATGTTGAAACTGGAGTACCAAATGAAGTAAAAGTTCCGAAAAAACACACATCCCCCAGAACAACTATAGAAAAAAAAAATACCCATTCTCAGTGTTAACTACAGAGAAAACTCCACACCCTCCATCACATTAAAACCTCTACTCTCAAGAGAACGAGATGACGTGGGCGTGATGTGGAAGTAACCGTTCTAGTTAAATTGCGGGTGGGCATTACGCGACCTAAATCCCGGTTTCGGAGCCCCTTACGAACTCCGAAAAGGCCCAGTGGGGAGGCAGGCGAAGACAGATTGCGGCTCTGACGGCTCTGAGTCTCGCGTTTCCTGCGTGTTTTATTTGTGCCCTGCGCTGTGGCGGATGCATAGATGGAATCTCACTGCCTATCGCTCGTTGTTGTAGGTTGAGCTGCAGTTTTCATGTATCCAACGTTGGCCTCCGTTGAGGTTTTTGGGTGGTTTTTCGGTTGTAGAGTGACTCTTCACGGCCAACAGGTTTTGAGGATCTTGGGACCCTGCTGTTAGATACATGTTCTTGAGATCGTTGTTATTGGCGTTGCCCACTTTTGGTTACTTTGTTGTCAAACATTTCTTCTTCTAGCATTTGATGCAGATTGGTTCGAGTTGTATCTGGATGATCTGCTCACTACTTCGCTGTGTTGTATTCCACGTAGAAGGATTCTGGTTCATTCATTGTGCAGATCGGTGGATTTTACGAGAAGAAACCATTGTTTGTACAATTCTTAGTTTGCTGAGAAAGATCGAGGTTTTCATAGGATTGGTATGGATCAAGCAGTCTCTGCCACAACGTTCTGAATGAGTTGTAGAACCTCTGGTCCCCTGCATTGCTTCTGCTAGATTCTGGCTATGGATGGCATTCCGACAGTGGCATTTGAGTTTGGGATTTCCGACATTTCATCGTGACTTCTTTTCTTCATCTGGGAGATCTTAATTGGCGAATTTCTGTTTTCAAGAAGTGATTTCATGCAAAGAGTTCAAACAAGGGTCTTCATTCTTTTAGAGCTGGGAGAATGTGTGAAGGCTGCATTGCACCCCGTGTCTGTAGGAAGGACCATGCGGACCGGCTGTGGCGAACCGGGATTCAACAAAAGAGAGAGATGGTAGTGGGAGTAGCGGGTGCTTTGGGAAATGCTCATTACGCCCTCGCAGGTATCGGCAAGTACGTTCTGTGTTGACCTCACATCGCAATTACGAAACTATTCATGGAAGATCCGAAGTGGGAGGGAGGTTCATCGCTGTCTGCTGTGATCGAATTCAGTGCCTCTGGCATTGTCTCACTATAATTACGGATCTTGTGCATTCACGTAGGTCCCAGCACAGTTGTCAGAAATTTAGATGCAATGGAAGAGGAGCTGGTCAGTCAGCGATTTTATTGAACCTTGTTCCCGAGTGTAAAAGGTTGTGGGGATTTCTGATGTGCATATTGTAAGGGGAATGCCAGAGATGGGTGCCGGTTGCGATGCTTTGCCAGGTGGTCAACCAAGTTCATCCCCGAAACGCCCTTTAAGCAAGTCATTACGTAGGTCTGCATCCAATCGAGCAATCCCTGTTCGAGGGGCAGAAGTATTTCCTTCATCGTTGGCCCATCAAAAGTTCTTAAAGGCGTCTCTAGAGCAAAACCCTGAGTTACACCTTAGAACTCAACAACTTTCAACCTCTAGTACATTATTTCCCCTTAAAACAACCACCCCATCGACCTCGCTGCCCCCGCCTCTTCTCACAGCGAAGTCCAAGCATCTGTCAAGATCCCTCACATCCCTTCCCCTGGAGCCGGAGCCTGACAAAACCGCCCACTCCAAAACTATTACGATCCCCACACACTCCGACCTCCTTCCCAACGCCCGGATGCCATGTTTAGAATCCTGCGTAAAACCCAACGTCGTTACCTCTCGGGAGAAAGACATGATAATTCCAGTTCCATCGCAGCAAGATACTCTAGCAGGTGGGCCAGACATATTCGTAAAATCACTTTTTAGATCCTCCACATTCTCTGCTCTTCGGAAACATGCTACTCCACCTTTACCTGAAGAATCCTCTCTGTATACCGTTGCTGATCCCCCCTCTGCCTCCAAATCCTTTTGGAGGTCATTCACCTTTAAGCACATGCCGAGCAAGGGCGGGGAATCTGTGCAGGAGCAGAATGCGGACCCAATTGTATCTGGATTGTCCAAATGGGCGCGGAGCATCGTGACTAAGCCTGCTGCAGATCAGGTGATAGAGGTTGACGAATCCTCGCCATACAGTCTCCACTCTGGGTCTTCCGCCAAGTGGACATCGTCAGTAGGAGTGCTTCCTATCGCGGAGGTGGAAAACTCTTTTGATGTGTTCACCAAAGGGTTGCTTGATTCTTCAAGATCTGCCGTCAAGGCTGTTCAGAACAAGGCCCGACATCTCGTCTCCCAGAAATGGTATCAGGTATGTTGAGATGCACACGATACTTTGCATGTTTGAGCCATCAATGAAGGGTATAATTCTCGTGTCTGGAAGAATTTCTGCAATTAGTGTGAGAATTAATGTGAGAATTATCTCTGCATATGAAATCGGTGTTTTCCTGATTGTTGTATGATTTGCATATGAGCTTCTGGAAGAGCCAGCGGTCACTTCAAAGCAGTCATCGATTCATGTGCATGCAGCATAGAACTTCCCATCTGGATATGGTGTACATTGCTAAGAATATTATTGCGGTGGAGTTTCCGGTCATCGAAAGTAACATCCTAGGATTTATGGAGGTGAGTTAGCTTAAGTTGCTTCAAATGTTAACATAATGAAGACCACAAGCAAGTCCTCCTTTTGCAGGTAATAGCCTAGTCGACATGCCCAGTATTGGCTGATGTATATGTAATGAGAAAACTTATTCACGGAAGTTTATGCTATCTTGCTGGTGGAAATTTTCCTATAGGCTGATTACCGAGACTATATAGAGGAGCTCGTCACATTTTGTGAGATGCAGCATTTGGTAAGTCTTCCTGAGTGTTCATGTCACTTTTCCTGCAATTCACGTTGTCTTGCTCGACAATGAACTGGACGAAAAGGAGGTTTACCTTAACGTATTTTTAATTTATATAGGTAGATCCTTCTCTGTGTGCCTCTTAACAGGGCAAGTACAAAATCTTCAATTTATGCTCGGAGGAGCTATATGACACTTCACTTCTTTATGATAAGGTGTGTTATCGTTTATTACTTATCACATCAATGACAACGAAGGGTTTTATTTCAACACGTTGTGCCCCATATCAGATAGCTCAAACGTTTCTGAACATGAGCACCTTTTATGTGGGTGTAGTAACTCTTAACCAAACATGCGCTCAACGATCTTCAACGAATTCTGTGTTGTTCAGTTTTGTTGCTAATATGTACCTCTCCTTGCAGGTGGCATGTTTCCCCTTTCAAACCAATAATTGCCCTCCTTTGCAGCTCGTGTCAGCATTTTGCGAAGCTGTACACACATGGCTCAAAGCAGGTCTTGAGAATGTGGTAGTGGTACACTGTAAGGGAGGGATGGCGCGCACTGGACTCATGATATCCTGTCTTCTTCTTCATCTCAATGTACGTTCGTCTCTCGTCGCTTCCTCGAAGTGACTTGGATTCCACCTCCAATGCAATATTTCGTGTGGACTTTTGACATCGACACTAGTTTGTAATTTCATCATGCCACGTACATTTCAACACTTACACATTAGCGTGAATATTTCCTCATGCAATTTGGCAACGAAATACTACTCTTTTACCACTAAGCATATCTTCTTTTTCTTTTCTTTTTTTCTTTTTTTTTTCCAGTTCTTTTCTACTGCAGAGGAATCAGTTCACCACTACAACGAGAAACGATGTGTGAATAGTAACGCTTTAATACTTCCCAGCCATCTTGTGAGTGTTCATCCTGTGTGTTAACAGTGATATTCATTTTACAATCTTAGTAAAGCAGCTTGTTACTAACTAGACACAAATAATATAGGTGCAGTAATTTCGACCTGCGTTTTAAGATGATTAACTTGGAGGGTTTTCTTCTTATCTTTTACTGAACGGAAGTATTGGCATACCCTCATGCAATTTAGACTTACATGTAGGTGTTTCTGATATGGCAGCGGTACGTAAAATACTATGAGGAGGTCTTGAGAAAACACCACGGATTTACTCCAGGTGGGCGAAGGTATTATGCATACCAGTTAATTTGTATGCATGCTTATAATGCCTTTGCTATATCTGCATGCTAGTTTTCTCCTGAACAACCCCTTTGTACTAAAGCCCTGAACTACTCAGTGATACCAATGTCTACATGCTTATGGTTCTAGATCCTTTATTGTCTGTGCAAGTGATTCGTACTTCATCTTTTGATGCACTCGAAGAACATGTGGATATCCTGCTCATGTACAAGTTTCATGTAACTATTTATGCCGCTTGAATGTATTTTGTGTTCCCGTAACATTCTATTGTTGTCCTTTGCTTGTTGACACGGTGTTTGTTTTCATTGCAGATGTACCTTAAGGAGTATACGCCTGATCAACTGTCCATCTTGGATCCGTCCTTCTGTGACGATTTCAGATCATGACGGTACCACACATGCTGTTCCTTCTGAGATTTTTATCTTCAGAGAACTTTATCATCGCAATGTTCACTAAAGACCCGAATGCTCATCTGTTTGAGTGAAGTCCTATTTTGGAAGTGGCCGCAATCTGCTACAGTTTTTTCTGGTTTCTACGTACTGACTAGGGTTGCATGGTTACAATGACCAGGTGTGTTATTCACTAGTATAAAGCATTCTAACTTTATGCTGGTGAGTTTCTTTCCTGCTCTTTTACACCTTCGGTGGTTCACTCTTTGGAGACAGAACCGATGATCATATTCAGAGACGAAACTTAGATCTGCTCTAAGTGCATTTATATGCACTGAAGTTTGGTTTTTCCTCTTTATACGCATAGAGCAAATGATTTCTTTTTACCCATTTGAAATTTTATATCTTAATGGCTGTTGTTCCTTGGGCAGGCAGAAGACCTATGGATAAGTGCTCTTAACAGCAAAGTTCTTCTTTTTGAGCTGCCTAACGGTGGGCATGCTGCTGCGGTTGATGGGGACTTCAGAATCCACTTCCAGAATGGAGAAGTTCAGTTTTCCTGGTAAGATTTTTTCTTCACTATTATCCTTGGCCTTTCAACCTGAAACAGGCACCGTTTACAGCGTCGCAGCAAGTTTAAGTTTTCAGTATGAGATTGTTAGTCGTGTTTTAAGTAAATTTCATATGTTGACCAAATTGATTGAATTGATCACAGTTGGTTAAACACGAATATGATGAGGAGAAGTATTGTTCTCCGAATAAATGATCTTGATGGAAACGAGGTAAATTTTTCTGAAGTATGCCATTTTTCTGGGAGTAAAAGGAAGCTAACGGTTCACCCAATTCTTTAATATTACCAGAACTAGCTTTCGCGAATAGCCGCCTAGTAATATGCGTTCATCTCTAAAAAATCTTATCTTTACAGGGGCTGAGCGAAGCAACAGGATTTCAAGTAGAATTGGAATTTCAGGATTCGTTTATATCCGTTATGAAAACAACTAGCACAGCAGAAACTGCTCCAGCAAGTATCAGACCACCTCTGCCTTCAGACATGACCTTCGGTAGAAAATTTCCATGCACTAATACAGCAACAAATGGAGAAGCTATTTTCACAGGTATGTAATCCTTGGCTGAGTTATCATTGGCTCACATTTCATTCTAATGCAATGAAATCAGAATACAGTCAACATGCCGACAGCATGGTACCTCCACACACCTTGCTGTCGAGCATGCTTCCCCGACATTAGCACAGCTATCAACTGTTAAGGGATAAAATCATGAGCTGAATCCTATAGCTGACCTCTGATTGATGTAATGTTGTGCCCAAATGCATGTTTCATAGAGCATCTGGTCCCAGCACCTCACACGTTTGAATGTCACAATTAGATCACCTGCCGCGCTTCAATGGGAAGAATTGTGCTCTTGCAGATAGTGAAGGAGAAGACGAAGAAAGTCCAGGGGTTTTGCCACGCTCTTCTGCGGAGAAACGTGACATCAGAGAATCTGAGGGAACTTCCCTCATGAGTGAAGATCCAGAGTCTTCGTTTCAAAGTAAAGGTATTGCGCGTTTGACTTCTAGTGATCCTCCTAGCGATTTTCATGCGATGGCTGCTGCCAATTCTGCGGATGCTTCTCTTTTCACTTTTGGTGATGAAGAGGACTATCAAAGTGACGAAATTTAATCTCATGTATGGTGTTCTCTGCTGAGTGAAGACCTATCTGGACGGAAAGCATACATTTTGAGGGTGATCAGGAGCTGCCAGCAGACAAATTGTAATGATACTAAAATTCATATTATTCTGATCTCTGGCACTTCTCTTCAAACCGATTGCATTCTAGCCTTGAAACTTCCCTATCGTGCTAAATGAACTTGCAATACTCACAGATGACCCCTTGTTTAAACAACTTACTAAATGTGAAACAAAAGACTGTTTGCTGGAGTAGAGCAGAACGTTGAATGATAGTTCCATATGAGCACTGTAAATGTAGGTCGTGGTAATATCTCTGAAATACACTCTGAACAGTTCTTCCTACTAGAGTCATCTAAAGATTTGAGGATTATCATCTGAAGTATATTTGCTACGAAGTAGAGTGGTTTGTCAAAAGAGTGCTGTCGTTTATAGTATTCGTGTGCAAATTTTTCGATGACTCTTAGCGAATTGACCTTCCACTGTTTTATTCGTCTAGGATAGGCTGATATGCACTGAATTTCACATGTTGAACGATAAGATGATAGTTGCAAAGAAGTTGCGAAATGAATTAGTGTTGAGTCAAGATTATTTTCAATGAATTGGCGCATGGAAACCTACAAATTACAATAATTGATCAATCTACTGAGAAGAAATGCTACATCGGCGATCAGAGGTGTCATATAGAAATGTGTAGTTGGAGATCCCCAACGACCGGAAGTAACACCCCTCCGTGCTCTCATACGCATATTTCTGCTTCGTGGTGGCCACCCCACGAGTGATGGCTCCCTTGGGCGGAATCACGAGCTCGCCCTTGGAACGTTGCTTGTTTTTCAACGTGCTGAAGGAGCTCTCGCCCTCACCGATCACCGACTGCGTCTGCTGATCCTGGTCCCAAGAATGCTCAATGTCCGCTTTCACCAATAGCGTCCCATTTTGATGCTGCGTCTCTCGGTAGAAAAACTTGAGGGGAAATTTCGTAGTTCTATGATTGTAGACAAGGTCCTTAAAGTCCGACTTCACCATCACCTTCTCCTCCGTGTTACTCTCCTGATGAACCTCACTGGAGCTGGCTCCGTCGGTGTATATGAGTTCATTCGAAAAGCGGTAAGAGTATGAAGCGATGGTTGTCAGATTACCGAACGAGGATTCTAGGTAGCCTTTGTAAGACAAGGCCCTCGAGGACTCTGTGCGGAACGTCCCATCCAGACCACGGAACCTGGACGTAATATGCGATTGAAGAGCACCTGCGGAGTGCTCCGTCAGTTTACCTCTAGTGGAGTCCACTGATGAGTCCACCCAGAGGTGCAGATTCGCATTTATGAGCCAGAAGGGTAGCGCATTCGTTACGGTAGCACTGAACGAGTGGTTGCGGTCGTCGATGAGCCTGCCGAGGAATGGCGTGATCTCAATGTCGTATGAGGGCAGGACGAAGGATCCGATGCCAGAGATGGGCCGCCAGAAGTGTTGATCCGCACCGCCGGTGTAGAACACAGGAAACGGATACACTACCCCCGCAAGGAGGCCGTCAATCGACACAAGCACCTCTCGGAAGGTGCCATTTCCTGCAACTTGATCGCTGATGTTGTTCGACAAGAGGAAGTCATTAGGCGGGTTGGCATACCAGAATTCATCGTCCCCGTGAAAGGAGATGCAGATCTCAAGCACCGCCTTGTAGGCATTCCGAGGGATCTGAATCTCTCGGCTCTGCACGTCACTCTCGTTCTGTAGCTGGAACCAGTGCCCCCCTTTAAGAGGAGACACTTCGGCGAAGGGAAGGATCACATCCGCGACGCCCCCGTAGCTCTCCTTGGAAGACTTCGCCTTCCCGCCGACGTAGAAATGAGCCGAGAGAGTCACATTGTAGATCCCCGTGTAGGTCTCGTCCACTACATTCGCTAGCTCCAGTGCGAGCATCTGTGGCTTCTTAAAGAGAGCCGAAAATCGCGTAACGTCCTTCTCCACGGTCCACACGATCCCATTCGGCGTCGGCTCCGCGGTGCAGGTCCGGAAAATTTCCACCCCATTAAGCCACACTGCAGAGATTCGGTCGAACTGCCTGCCGCTACACGTCGCGGTCCATTTCAGCAGCACCAGGGTCCACCCCCCGTTGCCGCATGTCGCCTTGGGTGTGTACTGGTGCAGTGTCGGCGGGTCGTTGATCGTATTTCCGAATCTGTGCTCCAGCAGCACTTGGGAGCACACCTCCCACGACCCCTGGGGTATGTCCACCGGCTTCGACACCTCGAACAACTTCTGTCTCTCCTGATCTCCTTTCTCGTAGTGACGGTCTGGTTGCAGAGATATTTTTGAAGCTCCATGAACTCCTTTCAAGTAGCGGTGCCGCGGCGTTCGCCCCACCGCATTGGAGAACTTGGCGCAGGACACACCCGAACTGTTGAGGACGATTGTTACGAAGAAACAGATGAGCAAGAGACTTGGTTGCGAATGTCTGGTTCGGAGTGTTCTAGAGTTCACATCCGACGTCCCCATTCCTGCAGCTAGTTTACGCCAAGGCTGCAGACAACGACAACATGACTTGTCAATGAACGTCGTCCTAAAACTTCGGCTACTACTCTGCCCATTTAACTGGACTTCAGGATTGGGCAGCGTGGCTATGGATTATAAACTAGCTTCTCACCGCATCACTCATGAGGATAACCTATCTTCTAGCACACCAATTAAAAAATTGTCCCTGCGGAAATGAGAGAAGGGCGGTTTCGGACCGAAGGTTGTGATGCTAGCAGGAGTTAAGTTTGATTCTTTCATGGATGCGAAGGCTGCTCATAGGTTCCACTTTCGTCGTTAAATCTGTAATCCGCGTCCTTGAACTGAACATGAGCATCGTACAAACGAACGCTTTTCTTTAAATAAAATGTCATATAGTAGAGCCTAGATATCAGGTAAAATTTCTGATCAGTTTGTTTTGTTGCTTTGGTTTAGGTTTCCTGTTGAAACGGAACGCTACTTTCTGCTCTAATGGCATTACAGCAATTTTGTTGTGAATGTTTCTCCATCACACACACCAGTAATGCAAATGCACGACAAGCCTGAATGGCTTGCCAAATTTTAAATATTGAAAATAAAATAAGAAAAATAGCTTCTCTGCACTGTATTCTTCTAGCGACTATTGCATTTCAGTTGTGATTACTTTCTCTATCGAGCCGTGGAAGCTACGGTTCCGCAATTGTGATGAACACAGCGATAACAACTCAATGAGTACTGTAAGATCCCTCAGTCAGCACAATCAACAATCATTAGCAAAATTGTTTAAGGGGTTTTGGAAGAGTGAAAAAGAGCAAGTGCGCTCACTGTCTGTCTCTTTTCATCTGATTCATCTCGTTTCTATCTTCCATATTCGAGTCCCTCTCTTCTAAGCTTCAGTAATCTTGGGTCTTGGAATCAACGAATTAACGAGCTACCGAAGACGATGCATTCATTATATATATTTATATATCTTCATATTTCTAGAAAACTGTAAAAACCCAAAGCCTTCATACCTTTCCAGAGCTGAACAACTGCCCACTTGACTGCTGTCGCAAATGATCCCTCAACACTGCAGGAGTCGCAATCCAGGCGCGGAAGGTGCGTTACATAAGGTGTGTAGCCAAGGGACGGGCGAAAAGTCCCTGGAGACATGCTCTTGAAATACCCGCCCCTGAATCTAGCAGCCTTGATTCACTGACCTACCGATCCTTGAGCTGTACTGAATCACTCACGGGTGAAAGTCACATCCTGTCCTGCACACACATCAGGTGCCGCTCTCCTCCCTCTCTCTTCTTCTCTCACACTCTAAATTCCTCGTCCCCTTCTGCTCCTCTCTGTGTGCTTCTGTACATGAACCGGCCAACGAGATGACTCTGCTGGACGCGACATCGCCATCAAGAGGAATGAGTCCGCCGAAGACTTCGCCCTCCAAATCGACCAAAACCGAAACAGACAAACGATACACCAGAGCTGACCTGTTTTACCACCTCACCTGCACGCTATAAACGAATCCTTCACAAACGTGCCTCTTTCTTGAGCAAAAGCACACAAGTCCCGGGAGGCGACCACGTCTAAACCTTCCACTGTGAGCTCACCGCGACTACAACTGCAGGCTGATGAGTACTGCAGTGTCACCTTTTGCAGCGCCCACCTGACAAGAACAAAACAGAAGGTAAGGCAGCCGCATCCAGCACCCCCAGCTTCATCTGGGAGCGCCTCATAGCGCCCGCGGATTCTCATACCTCGTCGGTCTCGCACCCGACGATTTCCCTGTCCTCACTCGCTCGCTCGCACTCCGCTTCCAGCTCCACCTGAATCGGGTTTCCTACAACTAAATCTTCATTAACTAGCGACTAAACCACTCGGATTAACGTGATCTTAGTTAGCGCAACACTGAGTCCGCCTAGACCACGCGCCCACGACTTCGATCAGCGCATTAAGGCTCGAGGTGCTCGCGGTCTAATCTGGTCGCTCGAGGCGCGAGGGGCGACCTCGCAACGGCGGCCCTCGTTGCTGCTAATTGAGTGGTTAGACGCCATCATCCACTGGGGTGCCTAAGCCCGGTTACCGGGGCCTAGTGAGGTTAAACGCTGATTTGGACTAGGGCCTGTCCCCATCCCATTGACTCTCTTCTCATGACTCTCTGCTGCAGGGTTTGATCAACATCATGTCATGCTTGCAATTCCACAGCTCATCCTCATCAACTCCAGGGGCAATGACTCCATCACACACACCCCTACCCCCCCCCCCATCCCATTTGAAGCTGTCAAGCCTCAAATCAATTCAAGTTAGTTATCAAAGTTTGGTTATTCAAGTTTAGTTATGGTGACAGGAAATTATGGAATCCGGTTGTAGCCCATTCAATGCCTTATGCTCCTCTAATCCCCCACTTTGTCAATCATCCCCTGATGAACTCCTAATTGCCCTTGATTACTGCACATGGGGCCCTGCCCTTCACCATTCCCTTGCCAAAGGTAACCAACCAACCAACCTGGAAAACAAAACAGAGATTGTGCACACATGACAATGGAAGATGAGCGAATTGGTTTGTGTGTATGCATTTGTGAACAGAACAGGTTAAACTTGTCAATTCCTACCACAAATTGTATCCAATATCTACTATTTGCCATTGTTTTTTTTTTTTTTTTTTTTTTTTTTTCCTTCTACCTTCTCAGTGCCCCAAAATCATCACACTGTTTCCATACTGTGGAACATTACAGCTTTATTTTTAATTTTAAAATGAAAAAATTGCAATTCAAGTAAAACAGTTAAAAACCTCCATGTGAACACAGATGTTTTTTCTCATTAGGGAAAATATATACAATATTGTGTCAAAACCAATTCCTATTATTTTCCACTGATGGATAAAAATTTGGAATTTTCCCAACTTGAGCTTCATATTATAATTATCAAACGAGTCATTTTTTTTATTTATGTATCCATCCATTTCTGCACAAAATATAAGACACATTTGCAGTATGCAAGGGGGAGGTCATAAACCACCCTGACAAGCTCCTAAATCATGAAAACATGCACATTATACACATACAACATGAAAATAGTAATATAAAACAGAGCAACTAATAATGAAACAGAGAAAGGACTTAAATTCTCCATCCAAAAGCCTAATGGTGAGCAAGGTGGGGGTATTAGCAGAAGGAAGAGTTGTGGAGTCTTTTTTTTCTTCTTTTTTGTCACAAATAGAATTTAAATTCTATTGCAGGAGAAATAGTGAAAGTTGTGGAATTTCAAAAAGCACACCGTAGGTGGAACAGTCTCGGGTAGCGGGCAGCCCACCTCGTCATAATTGGCACTTCCTCCCACGCAAATCCAAAGTCAAAGGCCTCGGGCATCCGTCTCCGCTCCTCCCCTAAAACTGCGCCCCTTCTTCTCAACATTCCCTCGAGAAGGATGGAACGATGTTTGAAAGTAGGTACGCATTCATCCGTCATCCGTCGGAAGTGGCAGAGAGTGCGATGGTGGGAGTGCCAATCATGATGATTGGCGGGCCTTGGGAATGAATGCTGGGCTCCCAGGAGGACGACGTGGAAGTCTACGTGGCACGCTTGTTCCAACAATGGGAGCACTGGGGCTCCAGTCAGTCCAGCGTGGCAGCCACGGGGGCTCTGATTAACTGTTGTGATGTGATTACTTTATTTTGGCTACACAATTCTAGGAAAGTGAGCAAAGCACTGATTGCATCATCATTTCTGTTTTAATTTTTTATTGTAATAAAACTGCATTTCATGATTAAGACAATATTGTACATGTCGTGAACTGCATATATATATATATATATATATATATATTTGCATATAAGTATTTTGGCACAAAAATAAATACATTTGAAAGGTAATTCAAAATATATATAAGTGTTAAATAAATTGAAAAAAACTGGTTGCTAAAGGTTTCATGAAAATCTTGTCTTGGTTGACTGAATTATGTAAACTAAAAGGTTTCAAGTTAAAGGCAAAAGTACTCTAATAATACAAAAAAAACCAATTTGGCCAGAGTAGAAAGACAAGTTGTTTGAGTGTAGATCAACAAGACTTGTGCTGTTCAAGAATCCCAGGTTTGGAGTCCTTGCTAGTCCTTGTGATTGTTGGTTTTACAGTGTACATTAAAATAATTTTTTTTTTAAAATTACAAAAGAAGGTTGGTGGCTAATTACCATGTTTTGTATATTTTTATTTATTTATTTATTTATTTTTCTTTCTTGCTTTCCAAATCACAACGCTGTTTTATTTCTACTCTCATTACAATTCAGCTCTCATTCTATTCAGCTTTTATTTCTTTTCTTAAATAAAAATATACCATTCTTCCACAAAGAGGAGCAGTCACTGGAGTTGTTGTCATACAAGTGACGTTCTTCTCTTTCTTTTTCTATTGCTCCTCCAGTTGTCTTTGCCCACACTAGTGGGTTTCTCAATTGTCAACTGGCTCCCACACTTGGAGACCACACAAATGGGTTTGCTCAAAGGACAGTAACCAAACATGCAAGTGCATGTAAGTAAGTAAAGCAAAAGTAAAGTGAAGTGAATTAAGTATGCAAGTAAGTGTGTGAGTGAGAGTGAGAGAGAGAGTGTGTGTGTGTGTGTCTCTATATCAGTGTCAGTAAAGCTCTTTGTCATGGGACAACGGTATTCATGCCAGATAAGGAGATAACTTCCCCTCCACCTTCCAGTTTCCAAGTGCTGGACACATTGCCCATCATTGGATTGCTTTTAATACTCTGGAGAAAAACAGTTTCAGATGCCTAAGATCACAACTACCCAGTGCAGTTTCATTAAGCTCTTTCAGGCAAACAAAAACAAGGACAAAAGAGAACAAGATTGAACATTTTAATGTTTTTTAAAGACTATGAATATATATATATATATATATATATATATATAAATTTTGGTACATGGAATTCTATGGGACTCACATGTTGTTACATTTTTTTTTTGTGAGAAATGAGTTGTACAAGAATGGCTACTATATTGTTGGATATAGTAGACAAATTATTAATGTTTAACAACTCCATTTCAACGCTATTCTAGGATTGGCCTGATGTGCTTGTTTGTGCACATGCACACAGATCTTGTGGATTTGTGTTGATGTGAATTTACAGCAGGAGGTGGATAAAACGTCTTCCGTGTGGATGATTGCATTGATTTTTTGTTTTCTTGAATGTTTTGCATATAAACATGGCCAACAATGTATGATTCATTTCATTGCATGTGAAACATATCATTCTTGTAGACCATATCATAGCATGCATAAACATGTTGAATGTATAGATGGCTAGTCTTTTGATATAAGTATTAATTTCATTTTATTCAAAAAACATAAAAAGTTTAAGCACATAAGAGCACTTAATTCCTCAAAGTCCATTTTTCAGAGCCATGGTTCAATCTTTTGGAAGCCTTGTTGTTTGGATACAGTATAAAGTGAAAAAAGACCACGAAGTGTTTGAATACCTCTCACCTTGTGTGTTTTTAACTAGAAAGTGCCCCTCAATCAAACAATTTATTCCACATGCATACATAATTAAAAATACATTTTTGTGGTCTGGGTTTCTGAAACATCAGTCTGAGATTTTATAGATTTCTATCAATCAACCAGAGAATTGTTATGATTTGGGGAAATAATGGAGTACCAAAAATCCATAGTATTACTTATTACAAAGTCTACATTCTCTCTACATCATACATGGAAGCTGCTACTGTTCTCCATTGCAAATAACTGATTTACAGAGTGGGATGATTGCTGAGTGTACTGTGTTGCATTCAATTTTTATTTTTCTTCTAGGTGATGCTGGTAAAACAATATAAAAATGAGTCTTGCACATGTGAGATGAAGATCCTTCAAAATCTTCTCATAACATTCAAACTATACAAAATAAAATGTAAGTTCTTGGTCTGTAAACAATGTAATTTATAATAATGAAAGCAAAGAGAAAACGTTTTGAATATTGGTCATTGTTTTAATGTAATAAAAAAAAAAAAAAAAGTAAATAAAACCAGATTTATGATCTTCTTTGACAGAGTGATTCAATTAAAAAATAAAATAAAAACACATGAAACATTTTGTTTACGTCTATTTTTGTTACTCAGAACTATCATGTATAATTAATTTTGTAAAAAAAGTAAACATTATTCAACTGTTAATTCTCAACTTATACATTGCTATCAGTTTATATATATATATATATATACATACACACCAACTTAAGATTGAATTTATTTTTCTATTATTATTTTTATAAAAGTTTAATAAAATTATTTCAATAAAAATTATTATCGTTATTATTTGAATTAATTTGGTATGTTATATAAAGGAGGACAACTAAGACAAGAAAGGTATGGCAAAAAAAAACTTAAAAATAACCATTCTTAGATAACACAGATGGGTAGATCATGCTTTTAAAAATAAACATATTTTTCAGACTTTTAAAAGCATAAAACAATAAGAATGTACTAATATTTCAAAATATTTGATGAATTTACATCTGTGATATGAGTTACTTTTTTTGTGCCAAGTTGGCTTTCAAATTAGCCATAAGTATTAAAAAGGTTAATGTGTCATTTTTTTCAGAACATGAAAGGAAGACAAAAACTTTCATTCTAGGAGGCTTAAATCAAAGAAACTCTTCTACACTGATATTTCCTCAAAGAAAGAAAGGAAAGATGTCTTACTACAAGAATCACCAAATCTTCATTAGTTGACAATTAATGTCCAAGTTCTAATACATAAAAGCAATGCACCCAACACAATGTTTCAACACATGGCCTTTTTTGGGTGAAATTCTACCTATGATGCAAGTTCAAAGTACCTTGTGATATTTCAAAACATCACTTGGTACTTCACCAAATCATCCACCTTATAATGTGGGTGATTTTGAAATCAAAATATCAAATGAGGGGCAGGTCAAATATGAATAACCTTGTTGCTTGCCTCAGCTCTCCTGGAAATATCATGTGCTAGATCCCAATTATTTGGTTTTGCAAATGTGCCATGTTTGAAACCCTGTAATATGTAGTCATATTGTTTTCAGAGGCAAAGTGGTGATTGGGAGAACATTTAGGAAAGCTGCTTGCCCT